TTGACCATACAATGCTGGATCTTTTCCCAGGCTGGGGATATGAAGTCCCATTCTCTCTTAAGATGCTGGGCAGTGACTGAGCCACAGCTCTCAGGCAACCTTGGATCATAAGGGGGGAGCAACTCACACTCTACAGTGTGCTGTGTGACTAAGCCGTGATGTTCAGTTGGGTAAGTATATTAAATGAATTTTCAACTTATGATAGTTTCAATTTAGGAAGAGTTTGTTAGGACTAAATCTAGCATAAATTAAAGAGCATGTGTAAATGTGTCACCTCCTCTAGGACACCATCTGTAAGCCTCCATGAGTGAGTAGTTCCAGAACTATTTCCCATTGGACTCTCTCACTAACAGGTCCTGCTGAAGAGAATTGCTGACTGCTGTTTCCACATGCTGTATGCTTTCTTGAGTTTGGAGATGGGCTCCTGGTGTTCACTTTCTCCACTTGTTGGGGCAACAATCCTGCTGGTCCTTGAGGGCCCAGGCTCATCCATAATGCCTTTGCACACCACTCAGCAGTAGTACCCTCCACCTTCTCCATATTCAAGTGGCTACTTGTATGCTTTAATGACATTTAATCACTTTCCAGCCTTCAGTAATATGTATGCACGGCTCATTTCCACTTATTAAGTATAAAGCCCTACAGCTGCAGCTTGGCCTTATATGACTTTGCTTTTTTCCAGCAGGACCAGCCCTGTGTTAGGGGAAATACAAGTTCAATAAAACAAGGAATAAAATCCAGAAGGCATGTTCTATTTTCCAACTCCTCAACACTGCCTCAGAGACAGTGAGGTGAAGTGTTTGGGGTGAGAAAGTCAGAGGAGTGAGGGAGCTACCATATTTATAGGTGACTAATGCTTTCCAAAGGAAATGAAAGATTTGCAGGCATTGCTGCTCTGCAAAGCTGTGTTTTCCCCACTTAGGGCCAGCCCTCCAATTCTGCAATCTGAAAAATAACAAAAAGTGAGAACTGCATGGATGGCAGTCCCCACAGTCTTGGTGACTATTTTTAGATCATTGAAACATTCCTTCAGCAATAAAATGTTTCTCCCACTCAGTGACTGCCATTTTGGTGACTTGTGTTTCTTTCTCATGCTCCCGCTGGCCCAGGCCCCTGTTCTGTTCTCCCTCCGGCTGTGTTATCTCCCCATTTGACTGTTCACATTGGCATATCTGGCACCTGACCCATAGCTACCTCCCTGCAGATCCATGGTAGCCACATTTGTGGAACTTGCTGATGACTGTCTGTGGTCCTGAAGGCACATGGGTCCCAGGATGTTGTAAAAGGGTGGAGGTGGCAGACAGCATAGTCTCAGGTCCCCTAACCAGGGAATGGACCCAGAAAGGGAAGCTTCTGCCAACAAAATAGAAAATGTCCTCAAATATACTCATATTCAGTTTGTTCTAGCAAAACATGGAGTAACTGGACAAAAATGCTGATTTAGTATTACTTGTCATTCTTGAACAAGAACCTAATACAGCTTCCCAGCATTGGGACCCACCCAGTCACATTCCTGCTGGTAACAGGTCACCATCCCTTCTCTCTGCTGGTTTCATGGCCATTACTTACTGTCCCATTCAAGCTCAGAGCTAAGAATAAAACATCATGGAAGATTTTAGAATACAGAAACCAGGGCAAGCTTTATGACTGGCCACCCATCCAGCATCCAGAAATGTGGTTTTACAGTGCAGGAATGGAACAAACACCTGGCCATGAGCATACAGTGGAGAGAGAGCAGGGTCTGGAATTAGGACTCCTTGTTTTAAGTTGCCTTTAGTTCTAGCTTTTGGTTCTCTCCCCCACTCTTCGCTATGGCCATGGGCATGTTGCCTAATCCACTGGCTCCCCAGTTTTCCATTGCCCAGTGACCTCTAGGTCACCTACCACCTCTCATAGTCTCTGATGTTGTCTGTAGGTTGACTGATATTGTCACTTGTTGGCCAACATCAATTTTCCTGAGTTTCCACAAATGCCATGGTTGGGTCCACCTACCTTCCTCATCAGTCCACCTTCCATGCTTCAGCCAGAATCATCTTATTACTTTTCTTACATAACCATATTAGTTAATGTCTTGGCTTGATTTGTTTTCCAAGAAAGTGGCTTGGTTTAGTCAGTGCACAGTGGCTCAGCTCTGTAATCCCAGATAGGCATCATGATTGGAGGCCAGCATAGACAAAAAAAAATAAATAAATAAATTTAGTGAGATCCTATCTCAGAGAATAAGCTGGGGGTGCAGTGGTACCCTATCCCAGCTATGTGGAAAGTGGAGATAGGATAGAGGGCTGGCCCCATGCAAAAAGTATTAGCCTCTATGTGAAAAAATAACTAAAGCAAAAAGGCTGGGGTTGTGGTATAGCACCTGCCCAGCAAGGCTGAATTCAAACCTCCAAAAAAAAAAGAAAAGAAAAGCACTTAGTTTAGCATTTCAAATTCATTGACATGGATTCATGCATGGCCTAACTTTTCCCTGTTCTTTGATTCAGCTCTACCCTCAGCTCCTCCAGCATTTCATGACGACTGTTTCCTCTGCTTGAAGGCTTTTCCATGTCTCTTTTGTCTTCTTCCTACTCTTTCTATGGAGCTTAGACAACTCTTTCCTTTAGAAAGCCAGTTTCTGAGTGTCCACCATACTCTGAGCTCCCCACAATTACAGGTTCATCCCTGTGTCTTCCCACTGTCCGTCATGCAGACAGTCTCTAAGGGCAGTAGGATTCTTCTACCTCATTGCATCCTGAGCATCTTAGCTCAGCACTAACAAGCACTTGAATTGAACACAGGAGATGCTCACGCTTCACCACTCCCATCACTGCACCTTCTTTCCCCAACCTCTGAATTCTCTGTATCATTGGAACGCCTTCTCAGGGACCAACAACCCAAGACTTTCTGACCACTGCTTTTCACTTTATGCCACAACAATTTTCGTCAATAATAGCAGTGGTTTTAGAGACTCTTCAGTCCTCAAAGAGGAAAAGAACCACAGGGTCAGATGTGGGAATGACAATCAACTTTTTAGTCCATAAGTAAAAAAAGTTAATATGGCAACGGTGCTAACTTATTTAAAATCTCCAAAATCAGGCCAGGCATGGTGATACATGCCTGTGGTCCCAGCTACTTGGGAGGTAGAGGTAGGTGGATGGTGGTTTGAGGTCATCCCAGGCAAAAAGTTCATGAAACCTCTGTCTCAACCAGTAAAAGCTGGGTGTGGTGGCCGTGCGTCATTCCAACTATGTGGGAAGCCTAAATAGGCCCAGGCTGGCCTAGGCAACAACAGGAGGCCCTATTTGAAAAATATAACTGAGGTATACTGCGGGCATGACTCAGGTTGTACAGTGCCTGTGCCTGACTAGCAAGCCCAAGGCCCTGAGTTCAACCTCAGAATTACAAAAAAAGAAAAATAAATGTATGTTTGCCAAAGGAAACTGAAGTCCAAAAGTCTAAGAGTATACAAATTCATGTACTTAGTCAACCATCCTCCACCCTTCCTCTCTTCAACCCATTCAAAAGAGAGAATATCTTTATGTGTATTTGCTTTTATCCCAGCCCAGGTCCCAGATACTCTCTCTTTAGGGACTTATTCCTTTGAGTGAAGCAACTTATGGCAAATGCATAGCATACACCTCACCCCTGTCCAATTTCATGCTGTTGTAAGATATTGCTTAGTAATCATAGACCTTTTTCCCCATAGGGCCTCAGAATCCTTTTTGAATGCTCCAGATTTCAACTACTAGCAGGTTCTCAGTTTAAGCCTTGCTCTCTGAAAGTGTTCTTTGTTAAAATGTGAAGGCCCCAGAGGTTGAAGAACAGTATGGAGCACCGAGGTCTTGGGATAGGTTTATTGAGCAATTGCTTTCTTCAAGAAAGGAAGAACAAAGAAGACCTTGGGCACTCAGGGAAAGAGGGTGAGGAAGAGTGGGGGCAACATATGCCATAGAAGGGAAGGAAGAACCAGAGAGGAGCCATCGTCTTAGTTAAGCCACTAAGCTCCAGGACAAAGTCTGTGACTTCTTTGAGCCCCATCTTTTGAAATGTGATCTGTTCCTCAGCTTCCATCCCTGACAGAGCACTGTACTGAACTCCTGCCCTCAGAGGGCGATTGGAGGATGATCCAGAATGTCTTATATAAGTGGTTCCTGTGAGTCTAGAGCAGGAGCACTGATTGGCTTCCAGTCTGACATTCTCAGTAAGAGCAAAGGCACTGGGCTAGGTGGAAGGTTAGAGAAGGAAAAGGGGCTTCCCAGGCACCAGGTGGAGGGTCAAGCTCATTCTCCCAACTTTGGACCACTGGGTCACTTTACTGAGTGATGTTGTCAACAGGTGGATGGATGATGAGATCCAGGCCAGCTGCTAATCCAGCTCCCATGCCTCCAGTGAGGCTGTCCTGTAGTCTCAGAGCAACCACCCAAATGACCTGGGGGGGGGTGGGGTCTAATGCCAGAGGCAGATGCACAGAAGCCTGAAATGATGTAGCCCACAGGAATGGATGAAATCAGCATGTGTCATCTGTCATGTGTCTTTCAGATGGAATATATTTGGAAGTCTCAGATCATTCATTCATTCAAACATTTTGATTGCAAGTGGAACCAAAGATCAAAATTTTCTCAGGAAAGCAACACATGTGGCTTTGCAATGATTCATTCCTCATGAAGGGGAGAAAGGAAGTTGTGATCTGCCATGTGTGTGCACATTTGTTCCTGTGCATGTGAGTATTAAAATCAAATGATAAGAACCTTCTAGCTGGGGCATGGCTCAAGTGGTAGAGCAACTGCCTAACAACTATAAGACCTAAGTTCAAACCTAGAACCAAAACGATTTCTGAACTTGGGATGTGCCTCAAGTGGTAGAGTGCTTTTGTAGACTGCTTCTTACTTGCAAATTTAAGAATGGTTAAATCCCCATGAAATCAGCTTAAAGGGACTCTGACAGAATGGTATGCTTTTATGGAATATTTCTCAGAGTCTTGAATGACGAGCTTCAGTTGGCTTTCTCTAGGCAATTCTTACCTGGTGATGTAAGCAAGAGCACCAGCAGCCAACAAGATGAGTCCTGTCTTCTTCTGTGGATAGCGATGAGGTCTAAGAATGACTTCACCCAGCATGAAGGGCAGTATGGAAGTGTGCTGTAAGAGCAAAGATGGCAAATTACAAGGGCAGGCTGCCCCGGCTGCCCACTGCCCTTCTCCCCTCTCCAATGTATCTACTCACACACTGCCAGATAGAACTTTCCAAAACCAGGCTTAGAACATGCCCCTTGGATCCCCAAGGATCTACGATGGTTCCCTATTGCTCACTATACGACTTGGTCTAAACAACTTGGTCTGGGTACCAGGCCTCTTGGAAATGAGCTATCACCTACAGTGGTCTTGCTTACTGCCCACTGCTCCCCTTTCTTCATACATGTGCATACTCACACTTGTCCACATACACAGATACATGCATACATGATACACAAGCATGCAAAGACACTCTCAAATACATACTCTTACAAGCACACATGCTCTTCCCCTTCTACCCCCATTCCCTCCTCTTCTTCCACTAGAACAAGGCTGAGTCCGTCATTCCCCTTTAACTTTGATTGCTTTTCCCACTTCTAGACTCCTGCCTATGCCTCCTCTCCCTGGCTTTCACTCCCTCTCCTTGTATTCTGATCCTTTATGTTCTTTGCAGCCAATGTAGTACTCTGATGCTGTCTGAATTTTCCTCTTGTTAATTTCCCTCACTCATTTTCACTGCCACTATATTCTGTGCCATGCAGTCTAGCACTTACCCTGTATCTCCATAAACTCTGGCAGGCCAGAGAACATGTCCTATAGTCTATGTGTCCCCCATCACACACAGCACTGTGTGACTGAACTCCAGCCTGCTGTAGGTGGTAGGCGCCATGGGTATACATAAACCTCCTTTGAAACCTTCTATGCCCCTTTCTTCCCTGTCTCATCCCCTCCTTACAGCCATCTGTTCTATCACATCCTCCAAACCCTTAAAGCTAGACTTTTGAAAGTGACACAATCACAGAAATCCACCATTAAGGACGGTGGTGCTTGTAGATGTGAAGACTGCTGAGTCTTGCTCCCTCTTGGGAATGGAAGCTGATCTGAGGAAGGTCCCTAAGGTCTCTGTATAGTGTGCTTTCATTTACTGAAAACATTTCTGAAGCCCTTCAAACACTCTGAACTTATTGATAATGTGTAATGGTGGTCATGGTTTCTAATTTTTCTAGTCCTTCCTCTTTCACTCAGCTTCTACAGCCCTTGCAGCTTCTCACAACTAAAGCCTCCACATTCCAACTCCATTCTTCGCCCATTCCTGGGCCTCCAAGTGGCTGCTGTGACCTCAGTCACAATGGTCCCTAGAGCTTGGGAATGTCACTGTGCAACTCTGCCAGCCTATGTGACTGAAACTCCAGTCCCTGTCTCTGGGGACCTTTGCTGTTAGCCTCATAATTTTTGTGCTCAGGAGGAGTCCCCAGGAGTCAGTAGCTTTTTCTCACCTCAGCTATGCTAGCTAGGGCACAGTCAAGAAGTTAGGATGACCTTAAGAAGACAAGCAATGTGACAAGTTTTGATGAGGCAGAGTGGAAGAAGAAAGACCAAGTGTTAAGGATAGGGACAGAGGTACTAGCTGGATGGAGAAGACTTCCTGGGGTGCCCTGGCCAAAGCCACAGCTGGGTGGCATTTAAACAATTGAGCATCCCAAGGGTACAGGGGTTCTCATATTTTAGTAGTGAAGCTCAGAGGAGTAGCATGGCAGACAGACCATAGTTTTTACACACTACCCAAGGCTGGTCCTGAACGTACTGATGGGCTGGATGTACAAACAGAAAAGTTTCAGGCCACTCTCATAGCCTGCACTTTCCTCTGGTCCTATTTGAGTCTGCTGCTTCTGCCTCTTCTCTGATAAAGGAGCACAGTGTTTTAGGACAGTGTTTAGGACCTTGGGCTGGTGGCTGAAGATGTCTGCACTTCATCTTCCCTGCCATCAAATAGACACAATAGGTAATACACACTTCCTGGGGCACTATGAGACTTTCAGTAAAGTGCATGTGGCATGCTTAGTCCTTTGCTTATGAGAGCTTCCAGTGAGCCTCTGCTGTGGTTGTCACTATTATCAGTGTGATTGTCATCCTTTGTCTCACTGATGGACCCAGGGTGAGATGCAGGCAGGAGTCTTGTATATCTGCAACTCCAGGCGCTTGGATGTCCCTTGGCCAACAGTTTGCTAGAGGCTGTGGCATGCTAGAGTGTGGGAGCAGAACCCTCCTAGGTCATTCTGGGGACTCCCTTGCCAGCCCACCGTGGTTGTTGAGTCTCCTAGCTATGGCCACCTCTGAACGTCAATCATACTCTGTGACTGAATTCAATGCTGTGTTTACACAGAGGCCACCTCAGGAGGCAAGAGATGGAGCTGTCTGCCCAGCACAGCCACCTGCCTCTCCTGCCTTCCCTCTGATGCAGCCAGGAGGATGCAGCTTCTGTTAAGAGCCATTACCAGGCCCATTATGCTGGCCATTGATTTGATGGGTTTTATTAACCTCACCCACAATCAGTAGCTCCCTGTTCTCTCCATTAATGACCATTTGGAACAGAATTCCTATGGAATAATGCAGTGTGTTTGCGTCAGGACTAAATGAGTTCATGGTGATTAATGCTTTTACAATCAACAACTTGGGAATGCATGACTGGTCATTTCTACCAGGCGCCTGCCCTCTGCAAGTGACATTCAATTGGATTTCTAAATGAACTTTCCCTGAAGACTTCTGGGAAATTCGCTTCTGTGATGTCATTAGTGATGGGCCATAGACTATGGCTCCATACCAGTAAAAAAAGGTCTTTAAAAAAAGTCCCATTTTCTGCTTGGGGTTGGAGATAGGAACGAGTGAAGGAGAAAGACTGCAATCTGCAAACTTTCTAAATATTGAACTTCTGTGCAGAGCCAAGCATGATGCAATAAAACTCCTGGTATTTCAAATGTACTGATATTTCACCTCACATTGACATAAATTATATAACCTTTGTCAGATAGCGCATAGTTCAAAAACATAGGAAGTAAAAAGATTCGGTAAGACAAAAATCAAACATGCTTTCTGCTTCCAAAAAATCTAATAATTAGGCTGGGATTGACACAAATTAGAATGCTGCCAACAATTACTGAAAACAGTGACTCATTCTGTATTTCAATTAACAGTTTCTCAGTTTCCCTTATAAACAGGGAAGCTGACAAAAATTAATTATCTCAGAGGGGGTAAAATATTTCCTTCCAAAGTAAACAAAACATCATGGGCTGAAAGAATAGCATGCAGAAACAGAGGGCAAGGAGTGAAGTTATCTTTCCTTGTCAATGCAGTCAGCATTTGGGTGGCTTTTTATTTAAATGTCTCTCTCCAAATGCACTGGCTATAAGGACAAAGTTGTTCTTTTCCTATTCTTTTCCCCTCCATTATATCTTCCTCTTCCATCCTTTGTATAATGCCAACTTCTATCTGAGTATCATGGAGACAGAATGATAAACACGAAATATTGATTTAAGTATTAGTGTAATAATTGCACTTTAAATTCTCTGGCTGCAAAATAGTCTTGTAGATAATTACTGAAAGTTACCAGCCCATGGAACATTCTTACAAGGTTGTATGAGTGGCAACTGGGAAAATAAGGATAATGATTTGAGCACTTGTTTCTATTCATCTCATACCAGTAGATAAGTAGCTGTTACAAACAATTTCCCTGCATCTCTGGCCATATTTACAGTGGAGCCATTCTGCCTGACTCTTAAGAAAGAGGCAAGGCTTAATCCTTAGATAATCCTTAGGGCCCTCTGTTCTTTATCCTAGTCACTGAGGCTCCAAAGACTGACTCCATAGCGTAGGCCTGTAAAGCTTTTATTCTAAGGTTCTGGAGGAGGTGCAGCAAGAATGCTTAATTTTCCCTGGTGAAAGAACTTAAGGGTAACTACACATTTTAAAAATCAGATGACAACATCTGAAACTATGATCTTTGTTTCTTTCCTCTTACTTCCTTCTAAAACTATCTTTCTCTTTGGTTTTCTTGGTTTGTTTTTATTTTTGTTCTCTTTATTTCTTTCTTTTTATTTTTGGGTGCTACTGGAGTTTGAACTCATGGTCTTGCACTTGTTAGACAGGCTCTACCATGCAAGCCATGCCCCCAAGCCCTTTTTAGCTTCAGTTATTTTTCAGATAAGGTCTTTTGCTTTTGTCTGGGGCCAGCCTTGGACCAAGATCCTCCTACCTCCACCTCCTGAGTGGCTAGCATTGCAGGTAGGCATCGCTGTGCCCAGCCCAGATTATTTGTTGAGATAACTTTTTCCCCCAGCTCAACTTGAAGCTTGATCCTCCCTCTCTCTACATTCCAAGTAGCTGGGATTATGCCAATCCTCCAAACTATCTCTTGTGTTGAGTTGAGTTGACTTAGACGAGCAAATCAGTCTGTATATCCTCAGACCAGTCACTAAGCGGTTTCTCTTTCAGATACCCTTTCTAACAATGAGTGGACATATTCTACTTCATATGCCCTGTATAATCTAACCCTTTCTGCTGTTTAAGTAACACTTTGATCTGAGAATTAATTCTGATATTGGCTTTTCCCAAACTACATATTAAACCAAAGGACAAGGGTAAAGCAAGTTAAAGATCAGGCAGAAACCCTTTGGAAGATTCAGAAATGTATCATTTAGCCACTTGTTCAATCCCTTTAACTTGGAGAGTCATTCTGCCAAGTCTCAAAGATAATGCCTGTGGTTTGTTTATGGATTGAATGGATAGATATTTTTAAATGAAGCTGAAGCTTTAGTACACAAACAAGATCTCCTTTTTGGGTTACATGAAGGAGGATTTTCATGCCTATGAAATATTAGATGTTTCTTCTTTTATTTAAAAAAAAAAAACGGAAGCCTTCACTAAAGCTCCTTAGGGACAAAAATACGGTCAAAACATCAATTACAGTGTTAAACATAAATGGAAGAGAAATGGAGGCAAAACAAACCTTAATAGGGTGTCATTATACGCAGGCTTGTTACACTGCTGGATCTTGTTTCTTAAGCTAGAACTCTGCATGCAGTAAAAACAGGCAGTAATGTTGTGTAAATCCTGGTAAGGCAACCCCTGAT